ATTACTATGTATATTTTCAATTATTTTGGAAAACCTGCAACACTCTTCTTGCATTACACCATAACTATAAAGTTGGTCTATGAAAATAGGGTTCCCCATTTGTTTGTCCCCAGTCCCCTATACCACACTATAAATAAAGAGGAATACAAAAGAAATTTCAGCATCTTCATTTTCCAACCTCCAGTGGTTAAACCAGAAAGTTCTTTTGGAATAAAAATACTACGTCTTTTCATCCTCAGAGTTGTTGAGAAATTATAATTAGAGGTTTTCCTGTTGTGTAAAGGAAAGGAATTCCTTTGCTTTCCTGTGTCTGCAAGACTTCTGTTCTCAATGAATTTGCTTCCCTGTCCAATTTCTCTTTCTGCAGGTGATAGAGGGAAAGCTGGCTCCATTCTTGGGCAAGGTCATTAAATTTGCCACTGCACATGTGTACAGCTGCAGTCTTTGTAGCCAGAAGGGGTTCATCTGCGAAATCTGTAACAATGGAGAGATCCTCTACCCTTTTGAGGATATTTCAACGAGCAGGTACTGTCTTATAAAAGAATATCTGAATATGTCGCATGCAGTCTGATTTGGCCAGATCAGGCCAACTTTTAGTCAAGTACTGTATCTCTCTCTTACCCTGGATCAGGTTTCTTTTTTTCCTGGAGAACATTTTTTACCCTTTGGTTTTCTATATTTATTTTCAACCCTTACCTCGATACCTTTATCCAGAATGAGATAACAGAGTTGCAAAGAAACATCGCCTAACTCTGCCTTATTAGGTAACAAAGAGTGTTCAGATTCATTTTTAGAATGAAGATTGGGGAGGAAGAATCCTCACCACCTTTTCAGGGCCAAGTGATAGGGAATTTGGAAGTTGCAGCCTCAGAGGAAGACTAAAACTGGACCGAGCGTTGGGAGAAAAACTAGAGATGCTGGTGAACAGCTGTCTGCCTTACCACATACTTCTTTCTGCAGTAGCAAGGAGAGTTTTAGGATCCAAAGGAGACAAAAGTGGGAGTTTATGTGGGATTATTTTTCTAACCAAAGTAATATTTGAACATCATCACATCCATTGATTGATGAATGATTTTCCCCTCATAACATGAGATCGGAGTTTTTACTGTTGCTTTTCTTGAATCACAAAATGATACATATCACTTTTCCTTTCAGACCCAAAGCATAATAGAAATATACACTCTGTGTGTGTGTGTGTGTGTGTGTGTGTGTGTGTGCACTGGCTTCGTTGAGCATGAATGTCATGGCTCATTTCCCACCCTGCAGGGCTCACATACACTGTGGTTTAGAATAGAAGGTGAGGCATGTAGCCAGGGAGAGCTGAAGCATGTAGGGTAGAGCTAAGACATTAAGAGTTGACTCAGCCTTTTTGGCTTCTTCTTAAACCTAAAGACTATTTGTAAACATTCAGAAACTTGTGTTGGCCCCACACACAGAAAAACAGACACATAGACGCAGACGCACAGACACACACATAACACACACATAGAGTCCGGCCTCCAGTTTCTTGAGTGCAAATACTTAGCTCATAGCCTAGAGATTAGATACCTCTTAAGAATGCATACAACATAAACCCTTGTACACAGATATTCATAGCATCAATATTCATAATAGCTAAGAAGTGGGAACAACCTAAGTATCTATCAGCTGATGAGTAGATAAACAAAATGTGGCATATCCAGACAATGGAATATTATTCAGCCATAAAAAGGAATAAAATACTGATACATACTGCAACATGTATTAACTTTGAAAACATGTTAAGTGTAAGAAGCCAGACACACAAAAACCACATATTATATGATTCTAATTATATAAAATGTCCAAAATAGGCAAATCCATGGAGACAGAGGGTATTAATAGAT